AATATTCTTTTCCACATCTTAGTTCAAATGCATCAATTTGGCTTTGGTCTTCTAAATAAATTTCCAGCTTTCACATACATATGAGGCAATTGAAAATAACCATGGCTTACATCAGATCTACCTAGTCTTGAAAGTAACATCCTTGCTTTTCAGTACTTTAAAAAGATCTAGTGCAGCAGATTTACCTAATGCAATGTGTGTTTTGATCTTTTGACTGCTACTTCCTGGACCATTGATTGTAGTATATCTAAACAAGATGAAATCCTTGACCACTTCAATTTTTTCTCTACTTATCATGATGTTATCTATTAGTACAGTTGTGAGGATTTTTGCTTTCTGTACATTGAGTTGTAATTCATACTGAAGGCTACAGTCCTTGATCTTCGTCAGCAAGTGCTTTAAGTCCTCCACACATTCAGCAAGCAAAGTAGTGTCATCCGGTATTGCAGGCTGATAATAAGCCTTCCTCCAATCCTGCTGCCAAAATTTTCTTCCTAGGAAGAATGCACATAGGAAGACAAAAAGATTAATAAATGATTTTAAGAAACATGAAACTAACATACTTTTAATAGTTCTAGAAAGAGAATAGAAAGAACAGAATGATGGAAAAGCAATATAGAGAGATAATGAATGAGAAAAAAAATTGTAATTGAAGTTTCTCTGAGTACCAAGCAGAGAAATTAAAGAACAAAAAACCAACCAACCAGTCAAAAAACCCTATGGAAGTCACAGATTTAAAAAGCAAACTCTAAAAGAGACCAAATGAAAGCTTTTGTTGTTATTTGTGATATTTGTTGTGTGTGTGTTTTTTTGAGTATACTAATTAGCACTCAATGATACCTGAAAAAAGAACTTCTAGTAAGAGTATCCAGACCTATCAGAAATAGGGAAGGACACAAACACAGAGGAGGCACAAATTGACAAATAGGATATACTGAAGATTAAACAACTGTGTACATCAAAAGAATTTACCAAGAGAGTAATAAGAGAGTCCACAGACTGGGAAAACATCTTTAGCAATGACATATCAGGCAAAGGCCTTATTACTAAAATCTACAATACTCTGCTAGCTTCCAAGAAGAAAAAATACTAATTGCCCACTGAAGAGGTGGGCAAAGGACCTGAACAGAAGTTTCACAGGGGCAGAAATCCGAATGGCCAACAAACATATGAGAAAATGTTCCCGATCTTTAGCCATAAGAGAAATGCAGTTTAAAACAACAATGAGGTACCACCTAAAGATAGCCCAGTTCACAAAATCAGAAAACAAGTGTAGGAAGGGCTGTGGGGAGACAGGAACTCTCATCCACTGCAGGTGGACCTGTGAGTATGAACAGACACTATGGAAATCAATCTGGCGATATCTAAAACAGATGGAAATCGACTTACCCTACGACCCAGCAATCCCCTACTGGGCATCTACCCAGAAGAGGCAAGAAACAAACCTTGCCCAGACATCTGTGCTCCAATGTTCATTGCGGCACAGTTCACAATTGCAAGGAGTTGGAAACAACCCAAATTTCCATCAACAGACGAGTGGATTAAAACGTTGTGGTACATACATACAATGAAGTACTTAACGCATTACTAAAAAGCAGTGATGAACATAGGAAGCACATCACTGCATGGGAATAACTGGAGGAAAATGCTAAGTGAAGTAAGCCAAGCAAAAGACAAGTACATCATGAGTCCGCTGAGGTAAGTTAAAAAAAAACAAAACAAAAGGGGCATAAGGAAAAAGCTACTGTATATAAACATTCTTGGGGTGAGGACCAGGTAGTATGGCAGGGACCAGACCAAACACAGGGATACATATGGTAGCCAACTAAAAAGGAAGTGGGAAAGGGGGAAAAAAAATAATAAAAAAAGAAATGGGTAGCGGAGGCACAGGCCACTAACCCACCCAAGAGGGACCAGACTTCAACCCAGCTCTCCAAGATGTGAATGCAATATGCTGGTGTGGAGTAGGGAACCAGTGGAGAGGTCTGAGGGGCCTGCCCTAATCTGAACTTGTGGATACCTGCCCCTCCCCCAAGAAGAATTTATTTCAGAGGTCGGCACTGAATCTACAGCTCTGGGAGAGGGACATATCTGATGGGAGCACATGGGAGAAGATGAAGGGGGAGGAGGAGAGAGTGGAGCACATCCTGGCCCATCAGGCCTTGAAGACGATGTTCCTGCTCAGAGCAGCCAGTCCACAGAGAGGACCACATGGCCGGCGCCACTAGGAGACACGACGTCCCTCACATAGTCCTACAGGGGACAACACTGGAGACACAGTGTGGGAATTGTGCCCAATCTGATCCCGCGACACTGAGGCAAAACACTAAGGGGGTGCAATAGAACAACAAGGGAACTGAGCGGCGAGGTC